ACCATCGTTTCAATCATGCACGCATAAATTGTATTATACACAAGTATCTGTGAGATGGGCATTTTTTATATTACTTTATTTCTGTTGATTTTGGTTAATGATATATAAAAATATTTGAACCTAGAGAAAAAACGTCTTCAATTGTTTATTATTTATTTTATGTTTCTATCAAAAATAAAACTATGTATTTACCTTAAGCCGATGACTTTACACGTATGTCTCACTACTACTATTGTATTTGTTTTTACTTAAGTTTCTCAAATTTACAATACCTATAATTATCATAATATACTATTTAGGTTAATTAAGTGTATCTTTAACATATATCCAAATTACAGAAAGAAAGATTTTGTTTATCTGTGCATTAATGTAACCTTTACTCTTGCATAATATTTTAAGATCTTAAATATAGACCAATTTACAATGTTTCATTAGTATCTTATGTATGAATTAAAACGATGTATAGACATAATATAGATTTAATTTCATTAAATTATCAATCAAACATTCTTAAATCTCATCAATGAATGCCGCTAAATAAATGACCTGGTTCAATAATTGATGATAGTATGTACATATTTTGTTTAACGTCATATGCATTATTAAAATGATAGATGGATACCTACACAGTTTAGTAAGTCTTATCTTCACATAAATAACTTATGTGTATGTAAAGTCAAATATACTCACCACAATATAAAATGTATTTATTACTGATTAAATTATGCGATTAGTATATTTTTATTTTATTTATTCGGTAATTTTTTTTATGTATGATCTATAAATGCAAAACATCTATCAAATACATATGTGTAAATTTATATTAAAAAGTATTTTTTGGGATACTGAAATAATAGTCCTCAGTTTTTTCACCTTGAGTTAAAATTATTTAATACGTATAGTTAAATACGTATTAGAATACATATTTGGTAATTGTTACCTTTGTATTATCTTTAAATTATACATAATATTATGTCCATTATTAAAAGTTACTGTTTAAAAATAACATAAGTTATATAGATTTGTTTAAATTTATTTATTTTTATCAGAAGAAAAATCAGAATATAACTAAAACTTAAGTAAGATTGAATGAAAATCGTTGATGACTTACCTAATTTCATATTATATACTACGAGTCCTTCAATTCACCAAAATAGATCAATATGGTTGTACTTAGTCTTAAATTAATAAAGTTTCACAGTAACCTGAATTTGTTTATAAATATTATAGTTTTTAGTTTTATAAATCTACGTCGAAAAAAGTTATGTTCAAAGTTATTTATTTTAACGATCACATGTTTAAGTCAGACAATTAATTTTTTTTATTTCAAACTTAATCTGATGTACGATATTTGTAAAAAAAAAAAATTATATATAATGTATTTTTTTTCTTAAATTTATAGTTTAAAAATATAATTTTAATGTATTTACTAATTTACTTGCTGTTTTATTATGTAAACACTAAACATATTGTAAATGCCTTTTATAATAGAAAAAAAAATGTATTAACATATTATATTACGTCTTACGATAGCCTAAATTCAATCATACAAGTGAAAATGATTATAAATACGTGTCAATCGTTTTAGATTTATAATAATAAAAATAAAATATTTTACACCTTTCATATATTTTCCAGTGCAAATGCGTTTGCCTCAAAGTTGTCTCCAATAATAAATAGCTTTTCCAGTTATTCCTAGGTTATAATTAAACTTATAATTACTTATGACACACATATTTGCAAACTATAAATCAAATGTAAAATTAATTTCATAATCTGATTACCAGTCAGTATGTGGCCAATCAACGAGTTCGATGATTAACATGGTAAGGGCCGTATGTCCAGTTTATACACACATACTTTATGTTTAATAAAATAATAATAATAACCTGCATAATGGTCTGAAATAATGAAATAGACTATAACTCGCTTACCTTACTTCAACTTAGGATGGTGGCGTTATATAATAATGCATTTGAAATTAATTCATCGCGCCCGATTATCTTACCATAAAAATAAAATAATTCATTGTCGACTTTACTACATGTATAATTATCCATTAAATGTGTAATATTTTAATTTTAAAATATATATACATATAACATATATTTTTATTTACTTATTTTTTTTTCAAATTCATTATATTTCCTTAATATAAGGAAAACAGAATTTTATATTGACAATTTTTATTATTTAAGCTATATTTTAGTTTTACTTAAATACCTACTTAATCTCTACAGTTATAAATGTGAGTTTCGTAATAAGTTATATAATACTCATGTACGTACCTGTATAATAATTTAAGTATATAATATTATTAATTTTCAATTAGTAAATGATTTTACGTATAGTCCACTAAAATATGAGTATAGAAAGTCTTGTCTTATTATATTTTTAACCATATTAAATATAAGATTTATTTTTTATCATCCACAATTATTAGAATTATGTAACTTTAAAAATAATTGTTTATACATAAATTATCAAGTATTTGCACAAAAAAAAAAAAAAAAAAAAAGACACTATTTAAAATATAGATAGCTTAGATGAATTATGTGTAATAAAAACAGCATTATATCAATATCGTAAGCATAATATAACGTAGTAGATAAATTAAAAATAAAGTTATTATAGAATCGTCTGTAAGCCTGTGATATCAGACTGAATCAGTATTCCATTTTAGTAGGTAAAAATTCTATAAAAGTAATTTACGACTAGCATGATTTTATATCCTTGCACAAATTTACAACCTTTTTCAACGCAAAGTGCCATAATATTATGTTAAAGGGACGGTGGCTAATGAGAATTTTCGTTTTTTCTCAGGGGTAACGCTATCAGTTAGAACATCTTAAAAAATCGTTGTCTCTTTGTATTTACTTTTTAATATTATTTTAAAGTGTATACTGTTGTTATTTTCGAATTGTGAGATACATTTTAAGAGTCTTCAATTATTTGCGATCGCGTAAACTCTTATGATAATTATATAACAATATTATGTTCTATGTGAATAATATCAAATTTTTTGTTGTTTAACTTGTTATACTAATAAACCAAAATAATATTTTGATAATCCCATGAGTAATATTTTAGACATTATAATCCTGACTTACTCAAGTGTTTCAATGTATCCTTAAAATACTCACCCCCATTTCGTTAGCCGTACGAAATGACTCTCAGAATATCCCGAACGAACCCCTCTTATACAATGACATTAGCCTTCAAATGACCCTCACTTTCGACTGTATTTACAATAGCGACCACAAACTTGAAATGCCACAGGATATCAACATCACGAAGTGTTACGTTAAAAGTCAACACAAAGACCGTTATGCCCCATTCCCGCCGTTCTTAATAAAGACTTGTATTCTCTGATAGGACAATTTATCCTTGTTCAGGTAGTTTTATTAGGCTTCCGAAATAATATGACCTTATAGCTTTAATTTTAGTAGTATTTTTTGTATTTTAAATTGTTATTTTCTACGATAAAATATTTTATTGACATAAAAAAAAAAAGAACGCTAAATGTGTCAAATAAAAAGAGTCGTACATGGAATAGTCTCACGGTTTATTTATTTTTTAATATTAAAACGTAAGATATTTTTAAGTATACCATTTTATTACATATGTAAGTACATATCGCTTGAACATTGAATTTTCAAATATTTTAGATTGGTTCAAACATTTTATGATATATATACATATTTTTATATAACTGTGTTGCTTTTGAATAAATTATAATATTTTTAATAATATTTAATTTAAAATGTCTATATAGTATATAATTTTATTTTATTAAGCTTAATCGTGCATAGCATTTAAATAAGAATTGACATAGTATTTCTTAAGCACTGTAATCATAAAGAGTTCATGAAACGTTTAATGTACTCTTGAGAAACCATTTGAAATTGAGAAACCATTTAAAATTGAGAAATTTTAGTCGTAAATTCTGTATCAAAATATTATTACTTTTAAAAACTATCGTTGGTAAATATAGCATAGATGTAATAAACTGTTCACTAAATATGTATCGATAAAAAAATCCATGTAGTTTTTAACTAAGTTAAATGGATAATTTTGTACGTTAGTTTTCTCAGAACAATCATTATTAATACAATAATATAAATACAATAATTAATTTATATATTATAGTTGAATAATATCATACTAACATAAAATAATTTTTTAGGAACGATCAATAATACATTCATACACGATCATTAATATTGTAATATTTAGTGCCATCTTAAAAATGTTATAGCTTTTTCTGATTTTATTTATTCCTTTCATTAAAATAAGTATTTAATTTAAAAAAATATTTGTGGATACTGTAAATATATATTTTACAGAATCTATGACAAACATAAATCATAATAAGAAACATAATATAAATACGTCATAAAAAATATCCAATTGTAAAGTTGTATTAAAATTATGTTATATTTTTTATGTTTTAAATAAATTTTTTTAGTGTGTTATTTATCATATAAATGTATTTTGTAATTGTATTTCATATATTTCTTATGTACTTGTATAATATGTAGTTCAAAAATAATATTCTTTTATACAAAAAGTCTAGGAACATTTTAAATATAATTTTATATTACTTCATATTGTTTTATAAATAAGTGATATTAATTATTATGAAATAGTTTTAAACTTAATTTTATTTGTATATTTAATGTGGCATACAGTTTATTTAAATTTTAATTATAAATAGAAGAGGTAATTAATTTTAGGCCTGCCATCAAACCTTTATTAAGCCTTTCACAAATCATGCAACTATAATAATAGAATAATTTAAATAAATGCGATATTGTTGAAAACAATACAATTTGCTAACAACGTTTCATTTATTTTTGCTCAGCGATTATTCAGTTTTTTATTTCGTATACTCGTCTAAACTTGTATATTACGTAAATGTTATACGACAACAAGTGAATTATTTATTTAATATTAGATTCGAATTTACATATTTTAAATATTTGAATTTTATATTTCAGAACCTCGTACTGACATTATTGGAGGGCCGGAAATATTCATTGATCGAGGAAGTACTATTAACCTGACATGTGTTGTACTACATAGCCCGGAACCGCCGTCTTACATATTTTGGAATCATAATAATGCTGTAAGTTAAAAACGTCATTAATGTTTTACCAATTAATGATATAGTTTGTAAACATTTGTATATATACATCTGTATGCATTAATATAGTATATATTTCGTAGTGTACTGATAAGTATGTTCATCATAAATTAATAATAATGTGTCAAATGAAAATCTTCTTCGCGAAAACCTATATTTGTTTAATTTAAATTATTCGCTATTACATAATACCTACCGTATTTTATAAGCTGCCATTAATATGCCAGAAAATACCTGATCGCAAATCAGTTTACATCATTGAAGTATTTTGGTCTTCGGATTAAATGAATGATTTTAAACTTAATGTCTACTTCAATATTCAAATTATAACTACTAACAATAAATTGTGTGTTTATAGGTTGTTAAAATCAGTCAATGTCAGAATATCAAAAAGTGTTGTACTAGACATAAAGTTTATTTTGAAAAAAGTGAAAATTAATATAATTTTATGAACTTCCGGATTAATTAAACTTAGATAGAGTAAATTTAACTTTCATAACACATTTAATTAGTGAATATGCGTGCTTAGAAATATAGAATAAGTCATGTTTTTGAGTACTTTGTAAGTTGTTAGTAATGTGGTCTAAATTTCCATTTATTCTTTATACACACAATTTTCTAAAACACAATTATAAAATATAATATTTTAAAAATGAATAGATATTATTTTATTGTTTATTTATTTATTTATTTTTTACGAAAAGGTTTTTCATATTAATCTCTAGGTCGTATAGTAAACATTTGTGAAAATGATAAAGCACAACAATTAAATTACTTTTTTTTTTGGTTTAACAATGAATACTACCTACACATAGCATACGATCATAATGAATACAAATTATACTGAATTCAACATAAAAACAAAATATGAAACGAAAACAATAATAGTATACTTTTCAACTATAATATGACGTTAAGTATGGTACTAAGTCTGATGATTTTGTTGTATTAAACATGTTTATTTGTTTCATTTTGGGAAACATATTTATCAGAGATTATTCGAAATTTTGCTTATAATTTGTATTGTAACGGTCTTAAACTTATGTATAAATGTACACTGTACAATGATAATATTATTATTGTACATAGACACATAGGCAAGCAATAACGCTGAATGACGACCAGACGTCATAATTTTACTATAATTTCAGGTTGTACAAATGATAACTTAAACATTATTTACACTAGATAACAGATAATTTATTAACATTTTATCTAGATAAGATAATAGAGATTACAGCATTTAATTAGATGAAAACAAATAACTTTTAAATAATTGAATACTTGCTTTTATCAAATAGCATTTTTGCTAAAAATATAATATTATATTTCATGTTTAATTTTGTACATTTGTAATAACGGTGTGTATTAAATTCGTTTACCATTCGGTGCTTACACTTTATAGAGTATTAGAGACATACTACAAATTACAATAGTTTATATCATAAAATATTAAATAACAACAGAAAAATACAAATAGAAAATGTACATAAAATAACTTCAATATAAAATTAAATAAATATAAGCTATAGGTGATATCTTAAAAGAACTAATACTATTACTAAAAATACGTCCCTTTCGTTTGATACAATTTACTCTTGTTCTGCGTTTGTCAGTTAGTCAGACCCCAGGTTAATAGTCATCGACAGCAGTCGTAGTATGAACCATACTTCGAACTCGGGTCCAGTGCCGCACAGCTATTATCACAGCCCTATTATAGCCAAACATTTTTTCATTATTATTTTCGGGTAATGGTCATGACTTAACACGAGCAAAGTAGATTGGTGTATCTACATTATAAACTATGCCGCTATGTTTTGGGAAATTACTTTTACCCTTCTTTTTTCTCCTTTATTTTTTTATTCTTCTTGTATCCGTGTTTCATACGCATATAGGTACTTCGCCGTCAGCTAGACTGCAGCTGAGTGCATCGTGTTATTACTGTTTTTTTTTTTTTTGCATCGAACATGATTACGATTTCTCGAAATTTTGATAGTAATATTTTTCGCCATATTTCACGTATAACGGATACAAATCGTTTTACGGGTATTATAATATCATACATCATGCATACCGCTGAAATACGGGTTATCTTTATCCCCCTTTGGTGGCTATATAGGTATATCTACTTAAAATATTGAATATAAATCTTGGCACGAACAGCCATAAATTCTATTTTAATATGGACGCAGGTACTTTCCATGACATTTTTTTATTATTATTACTATTATTATTATACATTGACTTCTAATAAAGTTGTAACTGAAATTTGTCAGTATATTTTTCTTCAATACTTATAAAAACATCCATAAATTTAATACGTTACTGATGCACGTGTAATAAGCACACAATATATTTTCACTGTATTCAATATTATCGACTAAGTTTAGTTTCAAAATGTAGAGTAAGCTTCACCGCCTCCACCATTATGTGAAATATAGTATTTGAACGATATCGTACTACAGCAATATTTATTGATGGGTTTTCGGGTCGGGGACAAGTTTGGGAACATTGTTAAGACTCTCTGTATGGTTTTATCTCCACTTCCAACGTCTTAAACTAATAACAGGGTGTATCTGTGCACATACATTAACACATTACACACTGTATAAACAATAAACTTTCAGTGAACACGTTTGTATCAATTGTAGTCATAGAAGCAGAAAGGAAAAGGAATCTTTTTAAGAAGTTTGGAGGAAATTCTACTTAACGACCGTCGACCGTGGGTTTTCTACTTTTCCCACTTTGTTTTTTATCGTATCTACAAATAATGTTAAACAAAGGTGAAAAATTGCCAATTGGGTACCGGTCTACTGTATAATACGTGTCGAGTGGATCACTTTAATGGATGTATTAAATTTAAGTTCAATGACATCAATGTATACGAAAAACGATTCTGATCAGAGAAAATCTGTTATGTAGTCTATATCACTGTAGAGTGTAAGTGCATTTTATGAAATTATGTTTTGTGATATTGCTATTAATTAATTAATTAAATTTTTTTTTATTATTAATATCACGATAGGTTGATTTAGGTTTTGCAGAAAATATTACGTTTATTTAAAATTATTAATAATTAATTATTATAATAATAATATAAATATAATTTTTACTATATTAAATTATTATTTTTAACTTTTGAGTCATACCAATCATCAGCCCTTACCGTAAGAGTGAGTGAATAGGTTCAAGGTAAAAATAAATTAGTCTATTTATTTTAAAAATGTTACTGCATAAAATAAAATTAATAACATACATAGGTACAAGTACCCACGAATAATATTTTTAAATAAAAATAAAAAGTTTAACATCTTTATGCATTGATTAAATGTGTAATTTTATCCAAAATTGAACTTCAAATGTATATCAAAATAAATTTTACCTGATGGATAAAATAATAATATTACTTAATATGTTTTTTGAATATTTATGTGCAGTTAAAAGAATAACTTATACAGGTTTTATATATTGTGTCCTGTATACGAAATGATAATTTAAATTTTGGATAAAATAAATGTAGGTGTATATAATTATTTACTTTATAACAAAATAAAAAATTAACTTTGTCAAAAATTGGTTCAGTGTAAAAATTCCCATTTTAACTTAATTTTTAATTTGGTTTTACCGATTAAAAAATGACTGGAAATATTAATTTAATAACATTTCTCTCACGTATCAATTAAATCCAATTATTATATTATTCGTCCAAATAAAAATGTATATTTAATGATAATAATAATAACAATTATACCTAATAATTATTGTATATTTTCAAATGAAATAAATCACAGAACAAACAAGCAATGTTTTACATATTTTAAAATGCATTATTATAAATTCAATAAATATACTTAGGCTGTTTTATACATGTACAATATATCTGTTCTCAAACTGAGTATAAAAATGTGTACTAACCAAGTTTTCAAATCTTTAGAGAATATTACAAAAGTTTTGATGGTTTGCTGTACGGTTAGTGCTTACAAACTTTCTCAACCGCGAGCTATGAATTGCACAACCATCAAGTTCATAAGCTTAGTATTGGCTATTTGTCAAATTGTTTTTCTTGATAGTTCGAAGCTAACGGAATACAACAAATAACTGATTAACTATTTTGAATGAAAACAAAAAGTTTAAAGCTATTGTAAGTAGAGATACATTAAATACTATTTCCATTGAAAAATTAAATTAACTAACTCTCAAAATTGATAGATAAAAAGGTACCTACATTGGAAATAAAGTTAAAAAACTATTTTAAAGTATTTTAGACTAATTATTGAAAAATTAAATATTTTCCATATTACTTTAATCAAATTAACATGTTTAAACCATATTTTTTTTAAATTTTAATTTATAAGGTTTACAAGTTAAAATAAAAAATGCTTCAAGAAATACAATATTTGAGTTTTAAAAATCGTATATAAAATAATAAATGTAAAACAAAATTAAATTTGCTCAACAATTAATCATAGTCTGCTGAGCAATATTATATTATTTACAATAATATTAATGTATAATCTAAAAAAATATATAGTTAAATAAAAAAAAAAAAAATCCTAAAAACCACTACTTAAACTACTTAGAACTCGATAAGGCATTTTAAATTTAATGAAAAACAAACTGTCTAGTCAAATAATTATGATAAGAAAAATAATAAAATAATAATATATCAATCTAAAAATATTATTAACGTTTAAAAAACAAGTAGGATACCAAAAGAGTGAATCGATTACCATGGCAAAGCATCCAATTTTGTTGGAACGTAAAAGTATTTTTATATTCTACTATCATAATTGAATAGGTAAGTGATGTTATGTTAATTCTATTTCAGTGTGAGAATAATAATTAGCATTTATACAACGGCTACATTGTACTGATTTTAATCTAGGAACCAACACGGAAGTAGGGATACGATAAACGTAAGTCATGGGTTACATTTATGGTAATATTTTACATTGACGTATTAACTGAGAGCAATTGACAAAAACTAAACTTTGTTTTGAAATTTATTTTTCGTGAATAATTAGCACATCATTCGCATACATTTTCAAGACGTGTTTTGAAATACGCACAATTCTTATTCACCGCGCAAAGTCAATATTAAATGTACGGAGAAGTAAGCTACAAATCTTGCCAGAACCCTCGATAGGAAAAAGTAATATTTTTGAAATTTAACGTACCGAACGATATGAACATCATAATGAATGACAATTAAACATTAAACGCTTTTAAATAGCACTAACCGCGGGTTCGAGGTTTCGGAATTACGAGACAGTATCTCGGAAATGAACGACGTAATATCGATGCTCACGGACAGCAAGTCATCACATGATGAAATCTGAGATTTTTGTTATAATAGCTCATAACGATAATAATAGTTACGGCGGTGGGACAAGTAACAAATGAATTGCACCTGAGATTACGTGGCGGTACACGTTTTTACGCGATCGATATAGTTTTGATGACGAGGTTGAACACGAATACATAAAACATAAACATACGATATACGCTATTATGTTACAGTTGATTTTTATTATATTTTATTGGTTATTGCTTAGTGACAAATGTGTTAAAATATACGCGGTGACGTGTGCCACGTGTGTTATGCAAAGACTTAATTAATTAGCTGTATACAGCTATTGCCTCGTTTTTTTCTTTAATAGTTACTACTGATTTTATTTTATTTCCGTTTTGGTGGTTCGAGGTTGTAAAATATTTTTTTTCAAATAAAGCATGTTTGAAAAACCGTAAAGTTACGGTTTTTTAAAAAAAAATTTAAATAAGAGTTCTTGTGAGATTCCAGTTTTCAATATTCAAAAGGTTTCGGCTCCAATACTGGTTCTTTTCGACACGGTTCCAGTCCCTGCTAAGAGAGACCCCGTGACGAAATGCCGGGAGGAACGGCGACGCCGCCGTGAGCAAAGATGGTCCGGGTCCGCAACAATTTGTGTCTCACTTTTAATTTTAACGTCAATCGCGTCCGAGATATGTCTCTTGCCTGTGTAAATCGCAAAATAATTATTTTACTTACCGTAATTTTTTCTTTTTTTTTTGTTGTAAATTTAGGACTGACAATAATAAATATAGTATTGTATCAACACTGCTGTGGTTAAAAATATATTTTGTTTCGCTCTTTACGCTATTTCGTGATGAAAAAAACGGTGATACTGAATTGAGTGCATGCAACTTTTATGTGTTTGAATTGGGTCCAGCTTATTATCTTAATATCTTTGAATTGAGTCCGTTAGATAAAATGTCATGAGTACCTATATAGCCAGTGACTTACAATTAATTAATACTTACTTAATCATCAAATTATTACGAGTGAAAAATGGAGTATATATTTAAATATTCACCCGTAAAATACTTATTTCTCCTCAAACAATTTTTAATATTTTGTTGTATTTCTAAAAATAATAAGATAAGTATATACTTGAAATTTCCAAATTATTATTTTTAATACCTACATTATAATACAATTTCCAACAAATGTCAACTCTTTTAGAAATATTTATAAGTATGACAAATTTTCAATTTTTTTTAGTAATTTTTTATAACTGTCGATTAAAAAATATTCTTGAGGTAAAAATTAAATTTATTTATTATTATTTTTAATATTTTTAAATTAATAGACTCTTTATTTTTATTATTACAATTAAAGAAAGGGACTCAACTCGAATAACCTAACAATATTGATCGGACTCAACTCCGATAACTCAAACATATTTGCGGGACTCAATTCAATATTTGGGACTATCAATTCAATGTCAGCCGAATTAAATGCATTATTAAAAAATGTTGAGTTAAGCAACTGGTAAAAATGTGCGTAAATGTGCAATAATTTCTGTATGACGTCTAAGCAAATATATTTTTATTGTTTTGAAAATCCTTCATTTTTTCTCGTATGTTTGTATAATTTATGTATCTTTTTTTCTGGCAAACTTATATATAATTTATGGCATTGAATTTTCTTTCTTTAAAATGTCCTGGCACTCAATTTATGTAAGTTTTGAAAATATCTAGACCGTTATTTACGCAATATATATATGTATATGTTCGACTGTGATCTTTAATCGGAGATGTATTAACCTACTCTGAGATATCTACCGTGTTTTTATTATTGATGTTCAGTAGCATGATAATTATAAACTTTTTTGTATACAAAGTCGGCTCTATATATTGGTGACTCAGACCATGTTATCGCACTGGCTTAAAGTAACAAGAACGGCATAGGCGAAGAAGTGATAGAAAATGTCTCTACCTATGCGCACTCATACGGACCGGTTAATTTGAAAGCATAAATAAATGGTGGCAGTTTGGACACCATTGATAGTTTTTAGGTTATAGTACTAAACTCTAAACTTTATAATTTATCACTTTATTTACTCGGGTGTGATATCGAGCTACGGATTATTTAATGTCGAACCACAAAATGAATTAGTGCGATGAATATGTTATATTTACACATGCAAACAATGTAATTATCTTGTATGTAATTCGGATGAGGGGTAATCAAGGCTAATTCGCAACGTCTCAAGGAATATTATTTATTCATAAACTATAATATATAACTCAAAATCTCAAGTATGTTTAAATAATATAAATATATGCAAAGATCATATTATTTTTGAAGAGTTCACATTGTTAACAATATGGTTACATACTATGAATATTTAATGATTCGGTATATTTTGAAAGCTCACAAATCATACCAAATGTTTAAAAATCAATTTATAATACGATAATACAAAATAGTAAACATCTAAAAATATTCAAAATAAATATTACGATGTTTAGAAAAAATATTATACGTTATTTTCAAAAGACAGTGATTTACGGCTTATTTATTTTTAAGTTTGTACTAAGAAAGTGTGTGTGGGCCGTTAATGGTAAGAAATTTAAAAATATGATAATAAAAAATTCCTTTAAAAAAAAATATTTAGTTTACTTTTGCAGTTAAAAATGAAAAATGTAATTATAATGATGACAGTATAAATAAATAACTGAGATTTATATTTTACGTACGATAATTAAAATATTTAGTTTTTTTTAAGAATGTATAAAATTAATTATATTCATATTCTTTAAATAATTAACAAACTAAATTAATTTAAATAGATATTCACCTAATATAATATCACGAAAAAAAAAATTTGCAAGTTTTTGTTGTACCTATTATTTTTAAATGGAGTACATTTTGCTATTATATTATGTTCTTTTTTACTTAAGTAGATATAAAACAGCTTATAATATAAATTTATTCTTTGTAAATAATTTTGGCTACATCCCAAAAAACTTTCAGTTTTAACACAAACAAAATATAAGAAAAACAAACTTAAACATTTTTAAAGTGCCCAGCAATTCTATATTCGCTTAATATTTAATAAAGTAAATTTAATATAATAACTTCTTGCTATACAAATTGAAGGAAATAATTATATATTTATGAAATCTCCATACCATATATTTTTAAGTTTATTTGCGATTTTATTAAATATTAAAGAATACTTTCTAACATATATGTTACATAGAAAAATGTATAAAGCTCATAGAATATATTAAAAAAATCAATAAAAAAGGTCAAAAATGCAGTTTTAAAAATTTTGAGAAAAATTTAATCTGTTAAGTATTTAAAGTAGATAAAAAATAAAAAATAATTATAAAAACTAATAGTCACAGTTGTGATACATTAAGTTCAGTAAGTTAAATATATTTTATATACCTAATTTAATTTCTAAAAAAAATTTCCCATGCCTTCAATCGTTCATTTGAAATACAATTCATGATAATCCTAAATTTGTATGGAACCGTTGTACTTTCCAAAAAGTATTATAAATGTAAGAATCTTAGATCTGTTAAAAAACAAAAGTTTTGTGGTTTAGTATAGGGTAAAACCTATAGAACACCGTGTTAAAAGTTTTAAAAGGTAAAATCGAATTTTTTGAATCAAAAAAAATAAAATCTATTCTTGTAAAATTCTTTAAGTAATTTACGATGTACAGAAAAACTTTTACATAAAAAACTTTTATAGTAACATTGCGTATAAAGTGCATTCTCTGCTTTTTGATTGAAACCTAAAAATACAATTTTTTATTTTTTTTTTTTATATTATTATTTTATTTAAGTATTTATTGTTTTTGATATGTAATTAAATTAAAATATTTTTCTAAAAAAAGTAAATTGTATCTATTACTATAGGTCTAACCGCAACTTAATTTTCAAAAGTTCAAATCATGTATTTAATTATTGCTTTTTCAAGGAATTCTAATCCTAAGATGTTGGTGCATTTTAATATTGTTACAACTTTAAGCAGGTAAAAGTTTTTAGTAAAACCTGCTAATGAAAAACTAACAAACAATAAAAAAATAAAAATAAATTTAACATAGAACGTTTACAAGTTACATATATGAGTGAATAGCGTTCACATTTCTGTAAAAAAAGAACTATTTATACTATAAATTATATATTTTATATATATTTATATTTACATTTAAATTTAATTTCTTACTTAAGAATATTAAAAATATTCACATTTTATATGTTATCATCTAGCTCTGAAAACTCAATTGAGTGTATCTTTAGAAATTTATACTCTCAAATTAATATTACGTTTGAATATAAAATTATATTATCGTTTTGTCCTCAGATAATCAGTTACGATTCGCCCAGAGGAGGCGTGAATGTTGTCACTGAAAAAGGAACAGTCACCACAAGTCATCTACTCATACAAGAAGCCCGGGTCGAAGACAATGGCCGATATCAGTGCAACCCGTCCAACTCACAACCAAAGTCCATCAACGTACACGTGTTGAACGGTGAGCGATAAGGTTTTCAGTTTCTGAGACTTCAAACGTCGTTATCGAAACCTTTTTATTAGCACTAAATCTGAACGAGGTCATTTTACTGAATGGTCTATTTAAAGTTTAACATATGTTGTTTCAAAAAATTTTCAAAAATATTTTTCTTGCATTATTTTGAGTCAACAAATTTAAAAAAAAAAAATAAATATTTTTTTATTGTTTTTATCGTTATCATTTCATTAATTTTTAATAAAAAAATTATTTAAAAGATTACAGAACATACGATTAAATAACAAAATAAATATGTTCTGAAACGGCTTAAATGGTGTACAATAAATATTTTCAAAAATGTTGATTTTTCTGAAATAATAAATACCTCACATTGAACAGAATACTCCGTAAATAGCTATGGATTATCTCTGAGTCGTAAGCACCACATCATTTTTAAATTAAAATAGCATTACGTATATCCACCATTACACGATGGTGTAATTTTTTGGACTCTATACACTAAAAACAGATTAAAACAATATAAAAATATTAAGAACAGCAAAATGAAATTCCAATACTTTTGATAAGTGATGAGTATTATATTAATTCCTTAGTGAAGTTGGGTAAGGATGGGAGTTAGGATTTTACATTTGTAATCCACTGAGCAGAATAGTGCCCGTTGCACCACAGTTTATGGGGTTGGAATCAATAACAAAAACTGTAAAGTAGATAATAACCACGAAAAATATTTACAAAAGCTTTAGATTGAATAATAAGAATAAAAAAAAAAAACCGAAAATGAAATGAGTAAAAAGGATCGACCGAAATGGTGTTTACGACTTACGATATAATTGCATTTATGGTTATCAGCTGTGCGGTTAGCGCTATAACAGAATAGTTGTTGAAATAATGGGCACTAGACTCACCGCAGGTTCGATATGTGGCCTATCGATTTCTGATGATATACAAACAGGACAGAGATCAAAAATTAAACGAGAATATGATTTGAACATTTTTTTTTCGATAACGGTTTACAATTTTACAACGTGACAATAATGTTTTGTCAAATTGTAGCGATAAGTGTGTATAACATCAATATTATGAGTATAAAATCGTGGATCATTTATCGGCGCCTAAAAAATATTCTTATTTACCCGCGTTATTGTAAAAATGCTGTTCGCAGGAGAGTACCCGGCGGCGATGCAACACGGCGGCCAAGCGCATCAAAGGACCACTCACATGTACTGTTTGATATTTTTCGCGTGCATGCTATTGCACGTGTAAGCCAGCGACGTCAACAGGAACGCAAACGTAACACGATGTGATCGTAGCTCCGCCGCGCCGAAAGGTCCGAGTGTCGTCTTCACCTCCACTTCGATCCATTGGATCCGTTTCGGTCCTGATCTATTTTTGTTAATATTATGTTTTGTATAAATCAGCTCTGCACACACGCGTGGACTTGCGGACGCGAACCACCCTTTGGCGGCGATCTCCTGTACCCACACACACGTATACGGGTTGTGATGGGCGAAAACAAATGCGTTTCGAGTGCGTGCGTGGTTGTGGTTGGTTGTGTGTGTATGTGTATGTGTTTTTTTTTTTTTTATTTTACGTTATCGATATGATATGGACAAAAAATATAATCCTCTCCCTCTCCCCCATCAAGAGTAGTAGGAATTTAAAAAAAATTATGTATAACCCACTGCGTTTGACGACGGATTTATCGAGTGAGAAGACAGAAAACGAAAAAAAATAAAATGTAATGTTGTTATTTTAACGACGACTTACGCCAGCCGCATTGCGACAAAAGCGCTATTACGTGTACAATATGTATATGAGTGTGTGTGTATAATATTACGATTTACGACGAAGGGGGACATGGACGAACCTGTTTTCACCTTGTCCGTGGCGGGTGACAAGGTGAACTCCGTCAAACGTGGAAATTCAACGGTTCAATGATTGTGGAAACTCCCCTTCCCCTACCGAACCGTTAAGAATAAATATAAAATAATCCGTACCACACACACACCCACACCTTCAACCACGCACACACACACACACACACACACCGCATCGTGTCAAGTGAGGCGTACGTTTAACTTTTATTACACGCTGTCGCCGTTCAAACTTCTGGCGGCGTTAAATACCTACCTATCATAATCCACCGAAATTATAAAAATATTAGTTTTACCGCTCTTCTACATAATACGCTCACGACGACGCGACGTCCGCATTATGAGTTCCGCGACAAGCCGCAACAATGATTAAACTCCAAAACACTCCTCGACGTAAACCTTCCGAGACGAGAATTTTTCCAAGATATTCTTCCGCGCCGTTTCACTTTTACCAACGTGTCTACATAATATATATTATGACGTGACTCGAACTCCATCGATCGTCGGTCTCCTCCGTTGCGCGTTAAAAATAATGTAACTAATTTTGTAAAATATGTTATTATCTACCGTAATTTTATAGAACAACGTATGTACACTAGAGTTTCGTACTTAACGAGTCGTTATAGTCTGTTTGTGAATAATTGTCAATGGTTTTTTTTTTTTTTTTTTTTTTTTTATCAGAATAATTAAAAATCAATCGATTTTATCCATCAGAGTTTAATAATATTATAAATAATGTATTATAATATATTTATATCCCATTTGATAGACTTGCACACTATTTTTAGGCGACTTTAATATAGGTACTGAACGATATAATCATTAACCTATTTACTGATTTATTTAATACCATTTTGGGTATGTATATGACGCGAAATCGCGATTAATTATGTGTAGAATACAAATATTATTATAATATAATAGTATGTACAATTTAAACATTATCCATTTAGGCATTAGAAAAATGTGCTTCGTATTTTTTTTTTTTTGTTTTTTAATATTACAATGTAACATATAATTCTATTACTAAATATATTATATATTATTCAATAACTGTAAGTTTATAAAAACGAAAAATAATGATAATTTCTTCTTCGTTTTTTTCTATAAATCGTAAAATAACTCTACTAAAATAAGCCTCTGTATGAGAATCGATATCTATTATACAGATGCTATATTATTATAATATAGCTGCAGTTGTCCGTTAAGGCCACTGTGTCCGTATAATAATGTTATAACAAACACTGTGTGCTCTGGGCTTGTTGTTAAATTAACGATATGATTATTATTATATTATATGATATGTTATTATTATACCGTTTAAACTATTCGTTGTCCACATTGATTTTGTATCCTTATGTGTTTATATTATAAGTGTACATAGCGTTTATTATGTCAATAAGATTGTCTAACTAAAAGATAGTTAAGTTATAATATTTTATATTAAAAAAAGTAATAATAATAATAATAATAATACCATTTCAAAAATTGTTACCTATCTAAGCTAAGCTAGTAAAACATAAAATAAAATAAAATAACAGTTTTTTTTTTTTTTTTTTAACTGTTTTCTGTTTTAATAATGTTGTAAAAATCGTTATACAAAAATATTATATGAATTATATTATATTACTATGATATAATGTTATATTATATTATTATTATATTATGTATTTACATTGAATGTGATCACGCGTATTATATTATAATATATTATAATATTATGAAAAAAAAAAAAGTGATATTGTATTCTTTGTTTTCTATGGTTGCTAAAATGCCAGTTATTTATAACTTATATTATGGACTCCTGTGACGTATGAATATTGTTTGTTTTGTTAGGTAACATTGACATAAGATTTTGAATTTAAAACAACTCATAATCTTTTATGTCTTGAATAGAGATAGATCATAAAAATAATTTTGTATATTTGAATATACTATTATACAGCATTCGTATATATAATTATATTATATTGTTTATAGATATTATTATATTTCTATGTTGTATCCGCACAAACTATTGAATAATATGAAAAATTATAATTTGTAGCGAAATAGATTTATACTCCATGTACTATGTTACTATTGAATACAAAATGCAATTTAATATTTAAATATTATTTGACATTTATGAGGGACACATAATAATTATTAAAATCATAACGCATTGAACAATAATAATTTCTGATCTATTCATTATACGAGTATACAATATATTATTACTATAAGTTATTGATATACATTCTAAATCTATATTAAAATATTGGTATTTAGGGTTATTTTTATATACTACGATTCAAAACTGATAGACGATGTAAACATTTTATAATTATTCTTTGAAATAGTGTTACCTTAAATGAGTATTCAAATATTTTATTTTTATTTGTTTTATAAATTCAATTTCAGTAGTAGCTATATTATGGTTTAAAATGTTCAGTCATGTTATAGTAATGTATCTGATATATTACATTACATAATTTCATTCGAAGTAAAGAAAATATTAAAAAGATATCTAATGAATGTAATTTTTTAAATATTAATTAATCATCTACATCTAAAAAAAAAGTACAACTGTACTCAATAAAGCTATAATATGCCTATATGAAAGATAAATTCATTTTGTATTTATGAATAATAGTTGTATGATTGCTGTTTTTCTTTCAACTAATTAATATTAATTGCACAATAAATGAAAGCACCTGAATTAAATGAATAACAAAAATATACAGCACATTAAAGCTTACCCTATTTAAGCACTACTAAATAGATTTTGACGTTGCGTTTGTGAAGGTATCGATGTTATTATTTCAATAAAAAATAATAAAATAAAATACAGCGAAAAATTAAAACGAGGTTATAGTATAAGTATTATATTATTTCCAATGCCTTGAGTCTTACGCGGTATACCTACTATGAATTTTAAAAACATTTTACTTTCGATTATTTTATGCTTAGAGTACAAGATTTGTCCTTGTCGAGTTGTTTCCTCGTTGTCGGGTCGAATGTCATTTCGGAAACAAAAATTAATAATAAAGTGTTAAGATACGATAAAAACCATCAATTAGTAATCCATTGAAAATGTCCCGAAGCACGAATTTTATTAATGCAAAAGGTGGAGAATGAGAGAAATATAATAAAAGTTCACAGGTCTCAGATTAATATTTCGGTCGTGCTGAAAGTGATAAAAACTTTGATGCGGGGTGAGGAGAGTCTCTGTGTGGTTTTAGTAACCCCTCACCTCTGAATGTGCACTGGACAGTTTTATTTTTATGGGCAGTTAAAATTTTTACTGCTCCTACTACCTACTGTAAAATGACCAAAACTAACATTTAGGTCAATACTCAAGAAACGCACACAAATGCTCTTTATTACGAATGTTTCAACTTGTGTGGGCAACCACTTCCGTTAAAATAGACAAGTACTTATATTGTAAGAAGCTATGAGAGTCAGGATATTGTAAAATAAACCTCTTAAATATTACTACACAGATAAAGTACGAGATTTTCACAGAAAATTTAAACTAAACTAATAGTAAATAATAATATACATATAATTGCAAAAAGTTTCGACTTTCAAGACTCTATGAATAATATGTTTTTTTTTTTCTTTTTAATTACATTAAAATAAATAAAATCATTATAATTTGTTTGAACAAGTATTCCATTTTGTCAAAATTTAAACTTGAAATGTGTTTAAACACTTTAAACAATTATTTTAAATATTTTTAAGTTTCTGTAAGAACATTTTATGAGGAGTAATGTATTTAATTTTTATGTTTTCAACAAGTGTTGTCAACATTTTAACTTAAAACATTTGAATATAAATTTTTGCTTGTGTATTTACCATATTTTTAAACTTACATAAAAAAAACTCGTATTAAACTAATTTTATATTTAATTTCAATCCTTTAATCAAACATAAAAATGTTTATTAAGAAAGCATTAAAAAACAAAATTTATTATAATACTAGCTTGAAAATTTCGCATGCTTAATAATAGACTAAATATAGTCTAAATTCTAAGTTCTTGAAAATCTTGAGGTATACAGAAAATGACAATTTATGTATTAATTAAAATTGTTGATGATTATATAAAGTAAATATTTTTTACAATAAAATAAAGTAACCAAAATTATTCATGAAAAATTATTATTTTTCTTAAAATTATACGGTTTCATCGATATTTGATCTTCAAACAGTTGTACAAATTTTACTATGATTTATGCTAAGCTTTTCTTTTTATTTTATTATCAAATGAAATTATGAGAAACCTTGTACTTTGTTTTCAAATCTTAGGTATTAAAATTCAAAGTGATTTTATGTATTATTAAATACAAAATAAACTGCACATTATTTGGTGTTCAACGTTGATGTAGTCAGTGTATTTTTTAGAACCGTCTTCATCTATACTTTTTTGTATCAAAAAGTTATAAATTTAAATAATGGGCATATATTTACGTTATATAATTAGGTACTATTTAATAAAAATATGAAAAAAAAATATTGACATAATATAACAAATTTGATTTTTTTTTTTTATGGAATTATTTAAAAGTAAAGGTTACCGTATGTTGATTATTAAATTTAATACGGTTGCTAAATATTCAATCGTAAACTATTGTAACCCGTTGAACTATGCCTCTTTTTTTGTGAAAAGTGTTAATAGTAGTTGTATGGAGATGCGTTTTTGAAAATAAAAAAAAAAAAAACAGCGGATTGTTATTCAAACCAGATACCTAGTACGACTACGTTTTGCGTGTTATGGCCGGTTTGTGGACGGTTTTAATAATAATAGAATATTTGATGTCGAGATGAATCTTATGAATAACAATCTACTTAACCGTAAAAATATTTATGAACTGAGAGTTCCCTGAAACATCGTCGTAAAAGTTAAAACTCGTGTGGTTAAAAAAAAAAAACCTACCATAATCTATTAAGCCATAGTGCTTGTAGGGGAACGTAAAATAAAGAATATACAATTATGCTATAAAAAATATAAATGCACGTAAGTGAATTGTCCATTGCAGATAATGTATTGAACACGGTTGATTTGGTTGATTATCTAATATGTCGTTAACGTTTAAATTGTTGATAAACTATACAAGAAATCGCACCGACAGAAAAACTTAGTGAGAACCGGTTACCAAAACGTCAAAATCTCTAATTTTAAAAACATTAAAAAATAATTACAAACATGATGTGAGTACGTTTGTAAAAATTAAAATGTACATTGCTTTTTTCAATCTTTAAAAAAAATTAATATTTATACTCATATTCAATGTAATTTTAATGTGCTGTATTGCACTCATGTATGGACTACAAATTATAATATATTATATGAAATTATATTTATTTTTTTTTTAAGTGGTATTACTACAATTTATATGTTTTGTGTGTTTGTGTGCATTAAAAAAAAAACTCCGCTCAAGGAATGAACACTTTTAAAAATTGTAAAAATAATTAAGTACAAATTTTAATTATCCAACTGGTAAAATATTTAAATATGTACCATGTAGATGAACCGATGTTTTTTTATAACAAAGTTTAAAACTTTTTTAATTATTTATGTGATTATGCATAAAATTTAGTTTTCTTTCTTAAAAGTCTAACAATAATAATAATATTAATTTTTAATTTACAAGTTCAGACTTTATCATCAGTGTTCTGAGTTTGTCAAATATTCACCGTCAAATTTACAAAGAATACTCGCATATATATACATTTTTTTTTCCGTTCGTATATAAAAAAAAAGTTGAGCAATTAAAGCTATTTTCCAATTGACCTAAATTATTACAGTTAATAAGTTACATACCGTATACCCGTTTCTGACTGGAAATGTAATAAATTGTTCCCTTTAAAAAAATCTGGTCTAAAAATCTGCGCACCTTGGAAAATGAAGTAAGAAATACACACTAAGTCGTAAATGTAATCGTTCATGTTTGTTTTTTCACTTTAATTTTTGGAAATCAATAGATATAAATTTGTACAGAAAGAAGTTAATTTCAAAAATTACTATGTATTTTATACTATAATTTAAATATAAAATTATAAAAAATGAAAAATATTTTTATGCGTATTTGTACATACAATTTATTATTTGAAATAGCCCATGTAAATATATATTGTTTTTTTTTTTTTTTTTAATTGATTATATAATTGTTGTTGTAAAATAAAATATAATATAACTATGAAGAACTTATTAGAAAAAATAATAATTCATAAATATTTAATATTTAATTTTAAACAATCATAATAATATTATCTGCATAATATTATTTAATTTATTTTGTAATAGTTAATAATTTAACTATTTTAATTTATTTTTCAATAATCATTTACAATTTACAAAAAATATTTATACTTCTAATATAAACTCATTGTATAACTACATGGACATAGCATATTGAAAATGGTATCACTTTAGAACTAACATACGTTATCTATTACAATTACTGTTAGTAAAAACTAGGGCCCGAAACTTTATGACCTAAAAATCTTTACAAAATGCACTTAATAAAAGTATTAAAATGATTATAAATATCCAAAAATGACTTAAAAGTTACTCTAAAAATTACAAAAAAAAAAAACATAACACTTTCAAAAATTACGTTTTTTAATAATAAACTATCAATTATTCAATTTATTATTTTATTCATCTGAATTTAAACAATGCTAATATTTTTATATATGAAATATGTTTTTTTTTTTTTTTACAGACTACAAGGCTTACATTTAATTTAAAATGAAAACAAGAAATAATGTTAGTAATACAAAATAATAACAAAAAAAGAAATCAATATTTTTAGAAAAATAATTGAAGAATCAGTTTATAAAGTACGTTAGTTTTTTCAAATATTTTGTTTTGTCAAAATAATATAAAAGAAAAATGTAAAAAATGCAAATGTTTCTTTAAAAATGCAAAAAATGCATCAAAATCAATAAATAATGACCGTATAACCAAAAATTACCGAAAAACACAAAAAAATACAAAATAATAATGGCTCCATTGAATCTTACATAATATTAGTCACATTTTTGTAAAGACAAGCATCATATAAACGCATTAGAAAAAAAGGTGCAAATGCATCAAGTTCCAGGCCCTAATAATAAAAATATTAATATTAGTAATTATACTAAACAACTAATACAATGTTAATTATATTTTTGTTCTATACATAGTAAAATATTAATAATATTTAAGTACCTACTAAATAATAATTCACACTAATATAAAGAAGAATCTATAAAAGAGTTTCAAATGAAACTTAATTATAATTAATGTACGAATAATAATTGATCACAAATCTGTTTGAATTTTATTCAACCAAGTAGATTTTACTAAATCGGCACCTTTTTCTCCAATCATGTATGTCGGTGCAACAGTGTGAGCTCCTGTAATAGTAGGCATTATAGAGGCATCAATTACCCTCAGTCTATTCACACCATAAACCTTTAGCTGAGAGTTCACTACAGCGTTTCGATCCCATTCCGGTCCCATTTTGCATGTACCACTCTGGTGATGCATTTGCATTGTCATTGTCTCAACACAACATTCCCAGTAGGGATCGGAGCCGAATTCTAAATGTCTACATCCCAGCAAAGGAGTTGTATGTAATTTGGAACCGTACTTTTGAAACGCTTTGGTTTTGCTGAGCTCAATTGTCATTTTTATGCCTTCTACAATTCGTTTTAAATCGAGAGGCTCGGTGAAAAAATTCCCATTGATCACTGGTTTATCAAATGGATTAGCACTGCGTAACCGTACCTAAAAATACACACACAATATATTTATCAATGAGGATTCGTAATACTTACATACTAATATACTAATATGTGTATAGATATATCACACTATGTTATCAGTTAATCGTTGTGACAAATTGTTCTCTGTCCTATGTTACTACGAATAATTAGGAGTGTTTCCTATTTTTAATGTATTCCAGAAGTAAAAATACTAAATCTCAAGACCACAACTTTCTTTATATTTCAAAAATAAAATAAAATAAAATAATGACTAGCAATACTTCTCTTACACCTCCACACTTAAGCAAAACAGATTATTTTCATCACTAACTCTTTATAACAACAGAAAAATGGATGGTACAAAAGAAAAAGATAGTTCTCAACAATCACAGGTCAAACCTAAAATTCCATCAATTTATTTATATAAAATTTCCCATCATATAAACGTTCATACATTATTAGTCAATTTATCCTTTGACATTATCTCCATCGTTAACACAAATTATATTATGTACTAAATTCCTGTACTAAATAAGTATTAATTATCAGTAATTATTAGAAACTTAGGTAAAACCATAGGAAATCTGCAAATAAAAAAAAATATTTAGTTTACTCATCAAAGAAGTCCAATTAGCTCTATAAAATTACTGTGTATTCTTTTGCAATAGTTATTTATCTAATATGCACTATGAAGATTCTAACCTACGGATAGCAACAAAACGACTATCAAACCAAGAAATCACTATTATTCCTTTTTTTTGCATTGATGCAAAACTTGTTATTTCTGATTTAGAAAAATATTTTTTTCAAATATGCTGCTTAATATCTTTTATTCTAACCTTATTAGTATTCTTAATAATGACCTAAAAGTTAAACACATCTTAGAACTTCCAGATTATTCAGTCCAAAGTTTTACTAATTAAAGACATTATTAAAAATGTTCGAAACAAAAAACTCCAGACCACGAAAAAATTACAAATTGTATGCTCAAAAAAAAAAAAAAAAAAATCACTACCAAAATAATTGTTCTTTGTTAGGTACCACATTATTTAATTCAATATTGCATCTTGATTACTCCACAGTTAAATGAAAAATAGCAACCATACTACTTATTAACAGACCAGGAAAGAGCAAATATAATCCTGATAGCTACAGACTAATTAGCCTCTTAACTACTATGTCAAAATTGTTTGAAAAAAACATTCATACCAAACTGCTTGCTTACTAGAACATTATAGATCTTATACCTAAGTTCTAATTTGAGTTCAGATCAAACCACTCGACTGTACAACAATTTTTTCGGTTAATAGAATACATTAATTATACGTTTGAAAATCGCTGCCATAGTGGTGCTGTATTTATAAACCAAATGCGTTAGATAAAGTTTGACACATCGGTGTTTTTTACAAATTAAAATATATAAATATTCTAACACACCTATTTAATATGATTAATTCATTTTTCTATTAAATAGGTAGTTTTATATTAAAATAGACGATAGTATCTCTAAACTTAAACCTATATCTGCTGGTATACCTCAAGGCTCAAAACTTAGTCCCATTCTATTCTACATCTTTGTTCTTTGACATCCTTCAAAATTGTAAATATTCGTAGTTATAGATAACCAAGACTAGGAACAGCTTATTTTTTCATATCAATACAATTTTTTTTTATTTATATACATATAAAAAATAACATACCTGTCCTCTGCTCTCCGGATACATCAACATGACCCAAATTGTCCATGAGTCATGAGTCAAAATACTGTTGTATGTTTCGTAGAACAACTTATCAGGAATACCCATTGATCTTCGTCCCATAGTCCCACCTAAACCCGCTTCTCCTGCTAAACTGCCAGGTATAAATATATACTCGATATCAGGTATATCTCCTATATCCTTGTTGTACTTAGTTTTTACATATCCAACACCTTCCGGAGGTAAAGTTGTCATCCAACTTTTTTTTTCTAAAATTTTAAATGCTTCACCTATTAAGTCACGATATACTCTGTCCGGAACAAATGATATAGTTTCATTTATTAAAAAAGCTAGCCCAGCATATGCCGGATGTTCTTGTAAGTTATCACCCACGCGTAAATCACTTACAGTGTTTATATTTAATGAATTCAAATGTTCTTTAGGCCCAATACCTGACAACATTAATAACTTAGCGGAGTTGAACGTGCCTGCTGATATTATCACTTCTTTTTTAGCCAATACTTTTCTTTTCTTTTTATTTTTTACGAACTCTACTCCATATGCTACTTTTGTACGGTTATCTATTAGTATTTTCGTAACATAACCAAATTCAACTATATGCAAATTTTTTAAATTGTCGTGAAGATAAGCTCTCGCAGAAGTTATTCGTCTTCCATTTGATGTTGTGCTTTGAATTCTAGAAAAAACTACATGGCTACCTGGAGCATTATAGTCACCAACAGACATACCAACTTCAGACGCTGACTCTAAGAATGCATTTACTAATTTTGAATTAAAACCAGCATAGCTAATTGGCAGTGGTCCTTCAACACCGTGATAAGGTGACTTTTTGAGTTCTGGTATGTTTATATTTTCATTTTTTAAGAAATACGGTAGTACATCATTGTAAGACCACCCTGGATTTCCTGCTTCTGCCCAACGGTCAAAATCTCTTACATTACCTCTTGTGTACATATTGTTATTAATTATTGTACTACCTCCCAATCCTTTTCCTGCTGGCCAAGGGCAAGTCTTATTTATAAGACCTCTACAAGAATGCAGTTCCTTTTCCGTGTGGTATGCCCAATTATAATTTGTAAATTGTAAATAATGAGCAATAGCTGGTAATGAAGTTATTAATGATTCTTCTCCGCCAGCTTCCAATAATAATATGTTCCATTCTGAAACTTCTGCTAACCGCCGAGCGATCGTTGCTCCTGCAGCACCAGCTCCTACAATTATGAAATCGTATTCATCTAATATTTTTTTGTTTCCAAATTGAATATCTTCACGGAATTGAATCAGATTTTTACGATAAGCCTGACCCAAATATTGAAAAACATTTATGGAAAAACATGGACTAGCGATTAGTAAGATACTTCCAAGTAAGATAACTCCAACATTCATGATTAAAATTGTATCTGAAAATAAAAATACCATATATCATAAGTATAAATTTAGGTTAATTATAAAACACTTATTTATTTATTTTAACTTCTATAAATCATTTTGGCAAAAAAAATAAAAGAAAAGAAATTGAATAAACATAATATTACATTATAAATTATTGTAGTATTAATTAATTTTAAATTTTATCAAGAAAATGATGAAGACAATTAATATTATATTATTTAGAACCGTAAAATTCTATGAAAGCAAAATAAAATTTACTATGGGTAAATTTGAAAGTTGTGTTTATATTTAAGTGTATAGGAACGTTATTTATAAAATATAAGATCAGTTTTGAGCTGTTATTATATTTATTTTAATTTTTTTTATTGAATTGTATTTGAATATTTTAATAGGTACTTTTAAGATACATATCTCAAACACCTAGCTCAATATCATTACCATATGCTCACTCATCGTGTATTCATGATGGAATTAAAATAAACTTGAAAATATTACCACTACCAATTTTAAATAAATAATTAAACTAATATTTGAAAAAAATATGATTTAATTTTAATCTTAACATTATTGAAATCATTGTATTCTAACTTAGACATATTCTTTATTTTATTATTTGACATATATTTGGGAATGAATATTTTCTTAGCAATTTAATGTAGTAGTATAGCTGATACATTATATGCATAGTGCATTGGACTATTTAGAATAATAATTTCAAAGATAAACATAAAAATATTTTCAGATAGTTGGCAGTATTTTTTTTCTAAAAAAACCAACTAAATTTAAAAAACAAAAACATCACTTTTAAATTATATTATAACTATTCACTATAATTTTATAACAATAACAACTAAAATACGCCTCAATTTTAATAAATAACTTTTAAAGTATTTATCTATTTTCAAATTATTATTTTAATTTTATATATATTTAATTCACCTGAAAATGGTCTTCTTAACTTTTTAGTTATCATTACTTTTAAATAATATTATAACACATTTGTATAAAGGGTGGGGCAATGGGTTCTGACGAATTTCAATTAAAGTTTATTAACCTAAGTATTAGAGATAAAGTAATGAAATAAATTATATTTTATTTAACCTAAAAGTATGTTTAATTGTTGTTAACAATATATTAACTTTTAATTATTACATTACTTAAGTGACCGTTTTCATTTCGTATACAGTTGGCTAAATTTTAATGTATTTGTGAAATATTGTGCGTGTAATACGATATATGGTATTAAACATTTTTTACTTATCCTGAAAAAAAACCCAGGTTATATGCAGATCATTAACTATATATAATTTACAATATTATAATTTAACTATTCATTATAAAAGTAATTTTAACTACATTGTTAAATTTAAAATATTTAAAAGTTTATGGAGCATCAAGATATATTTAGATACATAGATAAATATTTAAGGATATATATTAGTTAATTTAAGAGAATATTCAATTTTAGATTTTAAAATAGTTTATAACACCTAGCATTCCCGTTAATCTATCTAGGCGATCTATTACCATTTACTCTGTACATAATTAAAATTGTTACTATTTAAACTTTTTTATTATATGTAGTAATTGTCTGTATTTACTTTATAATATGGTTACAATTGTTTGCATAAATATTTTATAACAGTTTAATTTAAACTTTAAAGTAAATTTATAATATTCACTAGCCAGTATTAAAAATTCAATATTTAAAAATAAGTACCATTATAATACAAATATCACAAAATTCCAAATTCTTTTTAAATGTTATGTGAATATGTAGTGAATTGATTTGTACGTACCATAATGCTTTAAAATATCGGAATTAAGCCCAAAAATGTATTAAAAGGATTTATTGTTCTAATATAATCTTTTAAGAACACATGGAAAATATTGTAATACAACTGTAAAAACATTCTGATAGCAACAGACACAAATATTAATAATAATAATATTCTGAGTGATAATATCGATTGGTTATGTTAACTGAAGAGCACGGATTTTTATACACTAAAAAGTATCGAAATATGCCAAATAATATGCAGTAAAAATCATAAAAATATGCAACAAATGTGCAAGAAAATTTTTTATTTATATAAAATTTACAAATTAAACAACATACAATAATTAATTACTTAAATAAACTAAGTATATAAAATATTTTCGTTTTAATATGCAATATATTTTGAATTTTGTAAAATATACAGAAATGTACAAATAAAATTTTACCATTAGATTAAAATTCTTATGATTCGTGAAGATAACTGAAAATAAATCTAAAAAAATTAAAAAGAAAATAATAAGCGATTGCATATGAATCTGTGCTATAGTTATAATTCAATGCCAACAAAATTATTTTTAATATTTGTACTTGACAAAATGTAATTTTACACAATTTTTTTAAAATTTTTGTTTTAATAAGCAATATATTTCGAATAAAAATCTCATACCATTATGTTACTGTAGACTAAATATTAAAATTTAAAACTTAACTCACACATAATTAGTATGTTTGACCATGAAATTAGCTACTTTATAGTATAACAATTATAAAATATACATAATTTTATTCATAATATAATGTTAATCACTATTAACTTCTGGTATAATGTAGTATAGACTATTTTGTTTTATAAAAAAAATAAATAATAATATTATAAAATATACAGTCAAGATATTCCAGACATTCTATAATTATACATAGGTACGTACAATATATTAGCACTTTATCGAAATAATAATATTAGTAAATAATGTATAAATTAGTTTTTTTAATAAAAACATCATACAATTAAAAAAATAACCTATTTTTTGTTATATCTTTAATTTTCATTTAATTATTATATTTAAATAATTTAAAAATAAGTAATACGAATCGTACTGTGAATTTGTTTTTATTATATAGCTATAATACGGATTAAGATTTATTGTTCTGTTATCCCGTCACGGTCTTAGAAAAAAAAAATTATCAGGATATACTCGTAATATATCCCAGAAAATGTATAACTCGTTATTATAAAATCGTATTGTATTATTTCATGATTATTTATACTACCTTTTTTTCAGAATATACTGTTTTATTTTTCATAACTATTAATTTTATGGTAGTTATACCTCCCGGTTTTGTCGGAACACTACTGATTTTTAACCAAGTGTCCCGGTGTCTCGAGACATTATTTCGGGACGGTGGTTTGTCCTAGTTTTAAAATTTTACACGATAAAATACCGATTTTCAATTTGGAAAAAACATTATCGTTCTACACATCTTAGTGATAATAAATTGCATGATTATTGGCGTGATGATTATAGGTAAATTTATTTTTAGATTTTCTATGCTCGAACCCAAAGTTTATTACCGCGATAATCATAATCTTAATGGTTTTTATTAAAATTAATAAGGCAATAATGTGATCTAATTTAGAGTAGATTATTGATCAGTAACGTAGTACACATCAATTCACGTTATCTATTTCAAATTTCCGTTCACATAAAATATTTATTTTATTTTTATCAAATTAATTAGCATAATATGCTTTTTTTATCTCTGACGACATATTTTACTTCATTAATGTTAATGCTACCAGCTCTGTGTGGTATACAATTTTGTAAATTTACGGAAAAATTATAAAGTTAATTCACATTTTTGAAAAATAGATTTTTACGATTAAGATTATGATGTATACTGCACAATTTGCTCAAGTTAATTTTTTTGTCAGTCATGGAAGTCGGGCAAATATAACCGATCAAATGAAAAAAAAAAATAAACACGCTTAAAACTTGTAGCAAAAGAAGTAACTTGTTATACCATACAACTTCGTATTTTTAGAGTTTTAATTCAATGTCGTATTGTCGTGTTTATCAAGGTACTTTAGTTCATAAGCTATTTGACGAAAAAAAAATTCACAGCTACTCAAACTAAGACTAGAAAAGTTGCTGTAAATGTGATTGCTTCTTTTGCTAATTTGAATTTTTTAATATGTCCACTTGGAATCGATCAGACCATTTTTTTTAAATTTAGATCCCAAACTCTTTTAAATTTGGTTAGATTATTTAAACAATTATAAAAATTTAAGCGTTGATTATTCCTAATTGAAATTTAAAACTTGGCTTGATCGATCACAAGTGGATATATTGAAGAATTCAAATCAGTTTTCGGAAGTTTAACCGCATCATTAGGACTGTTGGTAGAATTGACGAAAAATATATATATTTCAGCGTACTCATATTATATTATTAACCGTTCATGCGCGGAATGCTGTATGGTAGCTTATACGTACACATACCGCATGCGGAAACGTTTTTCTACTAATCCTCCACTATAGTTACTAAACATAACTTTGTTCTAGGAATCTAGGATGAAAATTCTACAGGTTACATACACGGAAGGTCTATATAAGCCATTAATTCTATGAATTATGTCAGTTTTTTTTTTTTTTTTTGCGTATGGCGCTTATGTTCGGGAGTAGTTCTGAAAGCCTAGTTATTTGGCAGAATTTTTAGTTGGGCACCCGTAGGTTTCTGTTATGCCCGGTAATGATATCAATAACAATTTTTTATTGTGACGTATAGTGTATAAACGATAAATATATCGATTATTGAAAAAATACAAAATAATATCAATATGTTAACAACTTAGTGTACAACTGCAGTATGCCCAATATGCTAATAGCTATAACATTGTTTATTGGTTTTCTCATCGACCAAATCAGATGAAATTTTAAATTGTGTATTTGGTTTAAAAACAATGGATAACAATATTTTTAAAATTAAAATGAATAAACCACAACCTCTACAACAACGAATATGTTATCATCCATAATAAATTAATATGTTCTCCTTCTCAAAATCTCCGCATGTGCCGTTTCCCCTTCTGGATGGCGGTATGATAATGATCATTTTATTATATACAAACCAGTACCAGGAACTCCTTAAAAACTGTCCGTTTACAATCCCTAAACGATAGATGATTAAAAAATAGTTAACTTTGTATCTATTTTAATTGATGCGTCTAATTATAAAACTATTAAATTAGTCCCAGTACTTGTGCGTTATTTTTTAACGAATACTAGAGTAAAAAATAACATTTTTTAGTTTTCTAATTTTCTCGGCGAAACTACTGATATAATACATAAACAGATCATAAAAGTATTAAATAATTTTAATTTGGAAGAAAAATTCATAATTTATTTTGCTAATAATATAAATACCAATTTTTGTGATTTACAAATAAAAGGAAAAAAAATATTTTTACAAAATTTACAAATTAGAAGAAACCCTAAACAAAGAGATTTTAGGAATAGGTTGTTATGCACATATAATTCTCAATAATATTCAGCATGCTTCAGATTGCTTGCTAATTATTGATATTGAGGGTATAGTATGCAAAATTTTTGGTTTTTTCCATATGCTTACAGTTCGTATTAAAAATCTAAAAGAATTTGGTGACTTTGCTGACGTTCAGTAGAAGGACTTATTCTTTCATTTAAAAACAATATGATTTTCTTTATTTCCTGCTATTGAATAAATCATGTCAATGGTATGCCGACACTTGGGTGCAGAGAACTGTAGAAAATTTGGCGCAAGACTTTTAGGCGCAATAAAAATTGGGAGCTAATATCAATAACTTTTAAAATTAATGTAAAACGTAATTATATTAATAATAGATAAAATAAATTCTATATTTTATTGTAGTATATATACGTATACTATACAGAAGAGGTCATAAAAGGTCTTCAATAATAACTTTTATTGTATTGAACAACTATGAATCAAACTAAAATATTATTTTTAAACACTTAGTTCGTTTAGTACATTTTTTTTTCAAATTATGTACATAGGTATATAATAAATGATAAATAAATATGTAAAAAAAAAAATATTAATTTAATATTTTACATTTAAATTATTCGGATATCTGCGAATCATCCTTAACATGAATTAGCTGAATAATCGACGTTCAACTGTATAGCAAAGTAACCTATACATGCATGTATTGTATACGTTTAAATATTGCATGAAATTTAGAATTTGTTTCATCTATTATTAATATACGTTTTACATTCATTTAAAAAAGTATTGATATTCGCTCCCAATTTTTGTACATTCCATATCAATATTTGATGGTTTCAAATTATATTTTTTATCTCAAAAAAAAATGTCTAAATGCTCTCAACATTTTTTTTGGAAAATGATAGTATTTTATTATGGCATTAGTTTTTTAACAATTCAATATTTTTGAAATAATTTTTCTTAAAATAAATGATTAGTGGAATTTTTAAAAAATTGAAATTAAATGGCTATCTATTTTCAAAACATTCACCGATAACAATTATGCTTCTTCTGAGCTATTAAAAGTTGTTGAATTTACTTTTGTTGTGTCGGGTTCAATTGTATCTGTGGAATATATATTTTCACTCATGAACAACATATGGATAAATTCATAGATACAAACTTGATATGAAAATTATAGATGCTTTTCTTATTTTAAAAAGTGCTTCAGTAATATATCTTGTGAAGAATTTTACGACCAAATATTGGAAAACAAATTTTTATTAAAACAAGTTCATAGATCAGTCAAATATTTAGTAAAAACCATATGAGAAATTCTGGACTCGAAAGTTCTGAATACTGATCAATGAATTATTTTTATATTTGTTTGACTTTTTTTTTACTGACCTTTGTCATAAAATGTGATTTAAAATGCAGATATACCATAATTTAAATAATAATTTATAAATAATAGATTTTTGTATAATACTGCTTGGATGCATAATTCATTATATATTATTTCATTAATTTAGCATCGATGCTACCAAAAAAAGTATATTAAATTATACAAATCTTAATAAAAAATTAATTGTTTATATATATATATATATATATTATTATAAATCAGTAAATAGTCGCTCATTTTAATTTAAATTTAGCGAAAAAAAAATGAAATACACTATCAATTAAAATTTCTTTGTGATTTCCAAGAATTTCTTCGTGTTCTGAAGAATTTTCAAAAATGTTTATATCGTTTAATCCTGTTATATTATGCATATGAATATTCCTCTCATGCTATAAGTATTCATGCTTTCAACTGAAAATATTTTGAATTTTAAAAATATATTGTGGAACATTTATTGTTACTTACATTATCACGTGATGTATTAGGTACACATCAATGACGCTCAAATAGTCTTTAAAAAAGTAGTCAACATAAATTAAGAAAAATAAAAAACCTTGAACGCACAATGAGAATACAATACGTAAATAAAAAATAAAACAAAATAACTGTTTGTACCTATGTTAACTTCTTCAGAAACGCATGTATACTGTTGCAGTTGTCCATCTAAAAACAGTCCGATACTCATTTGGCAACTATAATTATTATTAAAACCAGTTTTTCTGCTGACCCTAGTTCAATACACTTACAAGTTACAATTGTGAACACTGTTTGACCTTCAAGTCAAAATACAGTTTCATAGTTGACGTTGTTAAAATTCCTCCTCATAAGTTCAATGTATTTTAGGATATATAAGTAGTAATTAAGTACAGGCATGATACGTTAAGACAAAATATTAAATTTTAAAATATTATCTAACAAATACTATATAACATAATATCAAATACTTATAAGAGTCATTGTTGACTTAACAACTCTAGTGGTTTTTACCTTTTTTTATATTAAATTAATTTATTAATAAATTAACTAATCTGCCTCCAAATTAATAATGGCTAATATTTTGTCTCCATATAAATATTTATAAGATCATTACTCTATAAACGTGTAAACCTTCTTTTGTTTTTCTTACAATACTAATATTACTGACATGAATTAAATCAGTATTATCATTTTATTGTACTCAATATTTTAATGGCCCTATGAAGATTATTTTCTATCTTCAAAATCTATATTTAATCAAATTATTTTTAGAATATTAAATTAAATGTAAAATTAAACATTTGAACTGTAATTGTTAAATAATTATCACACGAAGTTAGATAAAACATTGTTTTTAGGCTTTTTTTTTTCTTGTTCATTAGAGGAATATTTATCATTGATACCACAAGGCATAATAATCAAATTAGAAAATTAAAAGAATATATAACACACAATGATCTACATGAATAAGGAGGCCACCCAGTAATTAGATTCCATTATTAATTATTTTTACAAAGAAAAATATATACATATGATATGTTTTAAAGGATATTAATTATTAATACAACATAATATATATTTATATATTAGCTAAGTTTTATTATATATTTATATTATTACTATTAGTAATACTTTTTTTTATTTTTTTTTCCAAAACAGAGTATATATTACGTTATCGATTATTATAAAATAGCTGTTAATATTAACATATACATTTGTATTAGAGGTTTTGTACAACGCTAGTTAAAAATACTTAACATATAAACTCATTATAATGTTATTTACTGAAATACGTCCGTTCAAACAACATGTAGATGCTACAAAAACGGTACGTCACGATGGTATGATTATTTGATCATCGTAATCGGTTTTTTTATTATTTAACATGTACGTTAGACACATTATCCTAACCATTTATCATATTTAATAAATAAGACATTTTTAATTTTAAATAATTTTTTTAACCTAACCTAACCGACATAATGTAAAAACTGAAGTCATTTGTATTACAAAAAAAAAAAAATAAATATATATAAGCGTATGATTTTAACCAAAATCAAAATATTATATTTACCGTACTGTTTAATGTTTAATCAATAACCAGTATTGTGCAAAAATTCTCTATTATCATAAAATAAAAACTTACCATAGAAAAGTATTTTAATTTTCAATAAATAAACTTATGACTAATTTTATAAACAACTTTAATATTTTAAGAGTTTTAATTTAAAATTTTATTGATTTTTAAATTCAAAATTTCGAGATTTTATGAATTTTTCAAAAATATAAACGTTAAAAACTTATGGTATAAAAAAATTACATGACTTATTTCTGATATATTTTAAACTATGTAACAACAACTTATAAGAAACTTTTTATTAATTTCTTTGATTAGTTTTAAACTCTTTTCTACTCAAAAACAAAAATTGATTTAAAATATCTATAAATAGCACAAAAAAAGTCAACACATTTTAAAAACTATTTCATAGTTTTTTAAATAAATATATATATTTAGTAAAAAATTCAACTATAATATGAACATTAATTATTGAATTGTAATAAATAATTAAATTAATGATTTTGAAAAAACTAAAATTTCCAATCGCTCTCATTTTTTTCCTGATAAATTTAAAAAGTACAGAGATTTTTTATTTCGGATTTCTCAAAAATACCATCTAGATTCTTTTTGCTAAAAAAAACTACCCTTAAGTTAAAAATTGAAGCATTTTTTAAACTTTGACTTGAATATACACACAATCTAAATAAATAAATGTAAAAAACTTAAAGTATTATAAAATCAACACATTCGTATTCGTGGTGCTTAACATTTTAAATTAATTTCACATAAGATTTTTGTTGTCATTGTCTTCGGAGCTTAACTAAATAATATTATTCACACTTTTTGATGATAAGCCAATGATAAATTAAAATTTAATTTTTAATTTAGACGCATTATCTACTAGTTACTACCAGTACCTAATAATTATAATAATTACTTAATAATATTATGATCATAGATCAATAATCCAGATGTTTTGTATAGTACGCTTTGTCACTTAATAAAAGTTAATAACAAATTATTAAAATTTTTCTAAATTAGTTTTGTATCTTCTTCATATTATTCCAGGCATATAATCGTCATGTTATTTTCTTTAAAGTTTAAAATTAATACAGTCATTCATAAAAAAATTAAAAAAATAGTTATATAAAATAGTATTATTTACAATAAATATCTTTTTCAATCAAAATTGTTACATAAATAATATAATGTGAATAGTTATATTTATATTTATATGAACAATAAACAGAAGAAAATGTTAGAATTACGGGAAAAATACAATACCGTAATAATAATATGTCGACTGATAAAGTAGGTATGTTGCTTATGTAATGTATTTCACATAAGTAAATACATAATTCTGTTTCTGATTTTGAGAAATTGTTCATTTTAAATCAACACAGAATCCAAATACATAGTATTTCAGTAATTTTGAAACTTATTTTTTAAACAGTTGCAAATATTTTAATATCGTGTTATAGTTATCTTTTTTAAATATTAGGATTGGCGTAGACTACGATTACTTTAATCGTAGGAATTATTGTCCGATTAAAATTAGTTAAGGAAATAAAAGCGACATAAAATGCAAAATTAAATCTTTGGTAGGAATTAATTTTTATAAAAACGATATACTTTTTTTTTTAGATTACGGACAATGTCAATGTCTTCAATTATAGTTCTATAAATAAGATATTTAACTCTTATGAGATTTCATTAGAATTTATAATGTAATGTATACAACCAGATGCTGTTCTTTGGAAAGTAAGATCTAGCTTGGTAAACAGTTAGCTAAATATGATCAAACATCAATAAGATAAGTAATATATAATATCATATTATTTATAATACTTATATTAAGAGTTATTTGTATGCTTCATAATTGGTTTGATAAAAAAAAAGGTAACCTTTTAAGACTAATTATTTCTCCTTATCCTTCTTCAATCATATACTCATATTTATCTAATGTAGTTCGCGTTTTAAAAACATTTAATTATATTTCGTAAATTTTCTATTTCAGAATACTGTTCAAGGTAGAAATTAGAAAATAACATGAATAAATTATTAGTGTAAAATAATAATATTAAATTATACTAAATTTAATTAAACTTTGATTATAATACGTCAAAATATTAAACATGAAAAGTCTGCAAAAATTCTAAGTCAATAGTAACGTATGTAAGTTATAGACAATAAATTTCATAGTCAAGATTTTCATTTAATCAATATCATTTTTAAAATATAAATTTGGAAGACATTTTATTATATAAAAAAAAAATATATAATTGAAAGGTTTCTTATATTTATTGTCAAATCTAAAATATTTTAATTTAGTTAAAATTTGTTTATTTTTTTTTTTTTTTTTTAATATTTTGAAAATGTTTTTAAAAAATTTATATTTACCAAGAAATACATTTTTGTTCAGTCATCTAACCTTTTAGAAAATAGAAGAAAATATCGAGTTTTTACTACTATAGTAAAATGTTAGTATCTTAAACACACATACACACATAAAACTAATAACATTTCCGTTGCGCTCCGAACGGTAAAATAACATGACATAGGTACCCCATACACTCCGTAGACAAAGTATAATACTCAAGACCTATAAAATAATATATTTGATTGATTTATTCTATCAAAAGTTATGTCAGACATCAGGAGATATAGCACTTAAACGTATTAATATTATCAGATGTAAATAGTATATTAATTTAATAATTAATAAAAATTGAACACATTAAGTACATTTCTAATTAATCTAAAAAAGTTCAATTATTTTCATTTATCACTTATTAATGTGTAAATAACTTTTTCTGATAAATATTGTTATAAAACATGCTTTATATTCGATTTTTTTGATTTTTACGTAAATAATAAAGAGGATTATAAACCGCAGTCGACATTTCTTTGTAGAATAGATAATGTAAGACTGTTTTATAATGACGATTATCGCTCAGTCGATATCAATAAATATTTACATAACAACAATTCATGAACTAAGAAATAGTTAAAAGGAGAATGCAAAAGTGTAAAAAAATATGTGTAATCGATTATTTAAATAACTTATTGATTAAAATATAATTAGAAGGGATACTTATAAATATTATTTTACAGAATTGAAACCTGTCTCTTCACTTTCCTCAATTCAAGTACTATTTAAGAGCCAGATAAATATAAATAGTATACAATATTAAATTGAATAAATTCGCTATAGAAAAATAAAAAAAATAATAATTTATCACTCATACTTTTGAGTTTCTGCATTAAAAAGTAAAAATATCTTAAATTCTCATTGTACCTATTCGTCTGTTATAACTTTCGTTGACATGTGTCTGTCCACCATTGTCTATTTTATAAAAATGTTATTTTATTCTACAGACAAAAGTCATAATTTTTAAAAACATTATATTTGATATATTCTTTTTATTTTTTCAATGTAGAGTTCATAAAATCTTTAACAATTGTTTTTTTCTCAATGTTTATTTATTAGTAAAATAGTATTCATCAGGTTTCATTTTTTTTTTCAACATAGTTTAGATGTGTTTGCCATTATTATATAATTATGCAGATTTGAAAAATGTGAATATAGTTGCACACAATAATATGA